CGCATTGGATGGGAAAGGCTTAGACGCGAAAGAGTGGGTCTGCGGGGACTACAATTCCCAGCAGGCGTCGCGGCGGCGGAGTTCACGCACGCGCAGGCCAGACCCTGGGAATACGGTTCCTCTGCGGGCCTTCTGGGAAAGGAAAATGGTGGCGCCCGGTCTGCGGCTGGGAGCGGAAAGGTTTCTTGAGACGCCTGCGGTGCTGGGGCGTCTGAGCCGCCCTTATAGCATGTCCCAAACCTTGGCTGAGGTACTACAGCTGCCGAAGAAGCAGCTGACGAAGTTGCTGTACCCGCTGCAAGAACTCGAGCGGCACCTCGCCCCGGACACGGGGCCCGACCTTCACCTGAGGATCTTCGACCCGAGCCTGGAGGACATTGCGAGGGCGGAGAGCATCTTCACAGCCACGGTCCGGAACCGCATCGATTACCTCAGCTCCGCTGTTCGTATCGACCACGCCCCGGACCTGTCCCGACCCGAGGTGAGAGAGAGCTGCTGCTGCCTGCTGTTCACACCTGCGCTGAGCGTGTTAGAGCGCGAACCCCAGCCCCCGACTACGGGCCGGTCGTGAGAACTTGCGGATGATTTTGCTATCACCTGTTGTCACCCAACGACAGATGTTTTCCAGCTTTGTGTGACGCATATTTTATTTTGACTAAATAAGCATATACCGATGCTCCTCGACTTGTAAGTCAGAAGTACAATTAATTCCCCGATTAACCCAAATCAAGATCGTTAGGTCGACCCGTCCTAAGTCAGAGACCTACAGTGTATAGTTTTAATTATTTTGGTAATGACTATGGAAGACTTTAAAAGGTTTTAAAACCCAATCTACGCGTTCACAAAATTAACTCTTGTCCTTTTATTATTTTTCTTATTTAATTGTGAAGTAGGGAAAACGTGCCAAGACAACTTAGACAGAATTTAGGCAGTGAAGGATAGGAAACGTAATAGCTTCACAGATGAGATTGTCCTTATCAATAAGTAATTTTCACCCAATATAAATTTCTTATGATGTGTAAAAATAGTATTACCTATAGAGGGCAATAATGTGGAAGATTTTTAAAGCAACTTTTATTAGGGAAATTTTCATGACTGATCATTTCATACGTGTCCTACAGCTTAATAATATTTTTATTCTAAGTCTGCACCATAGCCCTGAAACTTTTTTCTAAATATATGTAAAACTATAGTCAGGATGCAGAAAGTGCCTAAATTATTTAATAATTTTGAGAGAGCATTAACTTTGAGTTAAGCTTCTGAATTACTAGACCTTTTTTGTAATTTTTAAAATTTAGTTTTATCTACATACTAGCATTAGACTTGACCTGGCAGAGCATTTGAAATTTATGAAAGACTCAGATCAATTCATTTTGAAGGACTGACCCGGATTTTGCAGAATATATGACATCACTAGCCCTTGCCCACCAAGTGTCCCTCAGTTGTATTGACTGCCAAGGGGCATTAATAAATACTGCCCTCATTTAGAACAACTGGTTGGTATTGTTCCCCTTCAATACCTGTTCAAAAGCAGAGCCATGTGTATTAATGGTTACTATCAAGAATATTTTGTTACTTTCCACACTACAGAGAAGAAAAGCTCAATGAGCACAAGAGAGGTCAAGGGAAGAGGGACATTAATAAATACTACCATCATTTAGAATACCTGGTTGAGAAAATGTGCTTCCAAACATGTATTTGTACTTTTGAGCCAGTTTTGTTGAAATGCATCTAGTTTTTACTTTAAAGGACTTTGTAAATATGGAATGCTTAATAAAAGTTGCAGATATTCTTGAGTAGTACAGTGTAACTAAAAGCACAGACTCTACACATAAATGTCCTGAGTTCAAATTCACTTTCTAGCTATAAAGTTTTGAGCCAGTTATGTTTTCTCATCTGTAAAATGGGGATAATATCACCTACCTTACAGTCCCTGGCACATTGAAATCATTCAGTAGATATTAGCTGTATGTTAGAATTTGAGGTTTGACTAAACATGTCACTTTTTACATGGCTTGGCAAGACTGAATAGTTCTTAATGCTGAATAGTTGCATTAATACAGCATATAATATATGAAGGGGGACCCAAAATACAGAAGTTTTTTTGGAGGGTGAGCCCCTTGTAGTACAGGGTTCCTCCCACTAGGTAAGTGTTCTATGAACACATCAGCATCAGTATACCAGCTAGCGTTGTGAGAGGTTGTCTTCGGCTTCAGTTAATTTTGGGGGGAGATTATTTCAGTGCATTTGCCCATTTCACGATGAATGATTTATGAGCATACCTGCCACACCATCCTGAGTGTTTAGTAGTTTTTTACCAAAAATGGCGTAACCCTTGTTCCCCACCCTCCCTATATACCCAGTCTTTCTCAGAGTGACCTTTTTTGTTTCGTCTGATGAAAAGAGTCCTCAAAAGGAAACGTTTTGCTGATGTGGAAGAGGTAAAATAAAAAATAGCAGGTGCCTGCAGGCTCAGGCAATCCACTCACCTCAGACTCCCCCCCCACAAAAAAAAAAAAAAACAGCAGATGCACTAAAAGGCATCAAAATTGATGGTTTCAAAAACTGTTTTGAGAAGTGGAAAAGGCGTCTTGATAGATGTATTGCATCAAACAGAGAGTACTTTGAAGGTGACTGAAATTTAACACATAAGAGTAAATACACAGGTTTTTGTAAATACATTCTAGTTTTGGGGGTTCCCCCTCCTATATATTAACTAATATTATCTTTTTTTCTTGCATAAGGTTTGTTTTATAGGCAGAAGCAATGTTGGAAAATCATCCCTAATTAAGGCTTTATTTTCACTGGCCCCTGAAGTTGAAGTCAGAGTCTCCAAAAAACCAGTATGTTGAAATTTTTAAATATGTCTGGACTATCTTTTGAATTGACTAAGATAAATAATAAATGTTGGAAGTACAAGAAATCATAATTGCTAAGTTCTAGAGAAGTGATTTCTTTCTGACAAGTTATAAAGTAAGGCATTTCATTAATGCTGGTGTATTTCTCTGAAGAAAAGGAAGTGTGGCTGGGTTTGTTTGTCTTGCCAACATCTCAAGGAAATTTTCCTTTGTCCAATTCCTCCAAAGAGTTGCTAAATAAAGTGGGTTATTTATTTATTTATTTGAGGTAGATTCTTACTGTCACCCAGGCTGGAGTGTAGTGGTGCAATTATAGCTCACTCCAGCCTCAGATGCTTGGGTTATCCTCCCTCCTCAGCCTCCCAAGTAGCTGAGACAACAGGCACATATACCATGCTCACCACATGTTTTTGTCTTTTCTGGAGACACAGGTCTCACTGTCTTGCCCAGGCTGGTGTTAGACTCCTGGTCTCAAGCAGTCTTCCTACCTTGGCCTGCCAAAATGCTAGAATTACAGCCTGGCTCAAATAAAGTATTTTGTTATCATTCTATATTTCCTTCTATAAGAGTGATCATCTAGTTATCCATTGATTTGGGGGAAAATAGCTTTAAAGTTTATTTTCCTCCTATAAGTTTTTATATTCTGTAAGATATAAAATATGTGAATTAGTTTTAGATACACACACACACACACACACACACACACACACACACACACACACACTCGTCATACATATTATGTTTACCTAGGGCCACATTATGTGCTTGTTATCCAGTCTGCTATCGTAGCTTTCTGTCATTTTCTAATTTTCTCTACTTCTTCTCATTGATACAGACTATCTAAGATTCCCTTTCCTCAAAACACACTCCTGCTTTCCCTTACCTTATTGTTGCTTGTAATCCCCATCCCCCCACCCTCCCATTTTCTGGTTTCATTGACTTGGACCACTTCCATGGGACTTCACTAGTCTTTTCTTGCTCCCTGCTTCATGTAATCGATTCCCTGGCTTCATTGCTAATGATTCTTTCCATTCTTTAACCCTTGCATGCTTACTCCTGCCCTGTCTCACGAAGTAAACCAGCTAAACTGTCACTTCTAGGTAGAATGATCCCTTTCCTGTTTAAGATAGGACAGTAAGGAAATTAGTTCTTTTTTTTTCTTTTCTTTTTTTTTTTTTTTTTTTTGAGTTGGAGTCTCACTCCGTTGCCCAGACTGGCGTGCAGTGGCCGCTCCCGGCCACTGCAGCCTCGCCTGCTGGCCTCCAACAATCCTTCCGCCTCAGCCTTCCAAGTAGCTGGAATTACAGGCGCGCGCTACCACACCTGGCTGATTTTTTGATTTATTGTAGAGATGAGGACTCGTTGCCCAGGCGGGTCTCGAACCCCCGGGCTCAGGCAATCCACTCACCTCAGCCTCCCAAAGGCGCGGGATTACAGGCTGAGCCACCAAGCCCAGCAGGAAATGAGTTCTTAACATTCCCAATCTGTAATTCTAAAGTCATTTTCCTATAGGTAGACGAATAAGCTGACTAGGAACTTAGTCGCCATTTATAAAAATCTGTCCTCTGATAACATTTGTTCTAAGATTTGAACAATTGACTAACTTTTTAGACCAACTATCTTAATCATTCCTTTTCTGATTAATAAATGACCTATAGATATAAAACTATAAATAAACCATGTTTTATCAACTTTATATTAATTTTAGTTGCAGTTTTAGATATTTTATAATTGTGATATTGTACATGCTTTAGAGATTGTTTAATGAAAGCACTAAAACCCACCTAATAACACATACATAACATCTTGATTTTAAGGAAGCAATACTGTAGGTATAAGAAACTATCAGGCTTTGGATCTAGGTTTTATGAAAACCTATACAACAGATGGTAAGCATTTTAATCTATCAGTGCCATATTTCCTTTTTCTTTAAAGTAGAGATATATTGTTCATCAGAAAATATTGACTAAAATAGTCAAACAATTTAGAACATGGTGACATTTTTCCAAGAGTTAAGACTATAATATTTTGCCTAAATATGGAATCTAAAATTCTTCTTAAATTATACAGATTCATTTTTTTAAAACAATGAATTGGGCTGGGTGTGGTGGTTAACTCCTATAATCCCAGCATTTTGAGAGGCTAGTACAGGAAGATTGCTTAAGCCCTGGAGTTCGAGACCAACCTGGGCAACAAAGCAAGACCACGTTTCTATAAAAAAAATTAGCTGGGTGTGGTGGCGCATGCCTGTAGTCACAGCTACTTGGAAGGCTGAGGCAGACATATAGCCTGAGTCCAGGAAGTCAAGGCTGCTGTGAGCTGTGATTGTACCACTGCACTCCAACCTGGGTGACAGATTGAGACCGTAACTAAAAAAAGAGAAAAAAAAAGAATTGTAGAGAAATAGTGTGTTCAAAGCTTATCTCCAGCCACTTCCTTTTATCTTCTTTTTCTATGTCATTTTCAGCAGTTAGGGTGATATACTTAGATTTTTAATATATATTTGTTGATTAAATAGATAATATTTTAAATCTTTAAATGCATGAAGGACATATTTTAAGACAGCTTTTTAAAAAATTTTATTTTATCAGGGACACACAAAGAAAATGAATTTTTTCAAAGTTGGAAAATATTTTACATTGGTGGACATGCCAGGTTATGGCTATAGAGCACCTGAAGATTTTGTTGACATGGTAGAGACCTATCTAAAAGAACGAAGGAAGTAAGGAAAAAATTTTCTTTTAATAGTTATACATTTAACCCCAAGGCACGTTTTCATCAGTAGCGTATTATGAACACTTCAGTTTTTCCAAATGGAAGGTCCATTTTATTCTCATAATCTATAGTACAATATTTAGGACCAAGGGATGTACTTGTTGCTTTGTTTTCTGCCTGTTGGTTAGCAGTTCAAGCATTTTCTTAAATTGAGACTATAAAGAGTACTTTAGGAGAGTTTAATTTATTAACTTTTTAAAAACCAAACTCTTAGCTGGCTAATTTTGAAATGAAAATTGTTGGTTAATATAGTATTTACCAGATTTGAAAAACTTCTGTAAATTCTGATCATTCTTAAAATACTTCAGACATCATATCCTTTGAAGATTTTATCTTTTATTGCCTCCATATATAGTCAAGTGACAGTTCTGTTTCAAAAATTGCACTATATATAGAAAAATGTTGTTAATCTTTTAAAGTTTATAAGCGTCTTTTCTATTATAGCTTACATAGAAACTAAAAAGAAATATTTACATAAGAAAATGTGAAGCCAGGCACGGTTGCTTGCCTATAAGCCCAGCACTTTGGGAGGCTGAGGTGAGAGGATTGCCTGAGCCCATGGGTTTGAGACCAGCCTGGGCAACTTGGCGAGACCTCATCTGTACAATAAATCAAAACATTAGCCAGGCATGGTGGTGCATGCCTGAAGTTCCAGCTGCTTGGAAGCCTGAGGCAGAAGGATCGCCTGAGCCCATCAGGTCAAGGCTGCGGTGGTTGGGAGCATGCTACTGCCCTCCAACCTGGTTGACAGAGTGAGACTCCAACTCAAAAAAACAAAAAGAAAATGCAAAGTATAATGTGTGTGGCTTCTGTTAGTCTTAAAGATTTAAAATATAAACATTTCTGTAACACTTAGTGAATTTAATTATTGAAAGTAAATCTGTTGAACTGTAGGATGAACTTCTTGGTGAATTGAGAATTACTTTTGCCTAAAGAAATTTTTAAATTTGGATTAAGAATTATTTAAAGGAAAACTTCTTAGTATAGTAAGGGATGGGGGACAAATGAATGATTGTATCATTAATCCTCATTTCTACATTCTTGTAGTTTGAAGAGAACATTTTTATTGGTGGATAGTGTTGTTGGAATTACAAAAACAGACAATATTGCCATAGAAATGTGTGAAGAATTTGCATTACCCTATGTGGTAAGTATATCCTTTGAATCATGATTGTACTTAGAAATACTAGTTCTGTGTACATCTGTGTGTGCGTGGGTCTTTTAACAATTGAGCTTGTCTTGCCTCCGCAAAAGATAAAGGGGAATGCCTTTTGAATAATCTTTCCAATTAATCAGCCATTAATACTAAAGTAAGTTCTATAGTACTTTTATTCTCTTTTCCTTCTCTCAGTTTAAAATAATTGTCAAAGTTTTTTCAAGCTGTTCATTTAATGCTCCTATGTGCTCAATAAGTTAGTAGCTCTTTAACGAAAACTTGGCAGATAATACTTATCAGAATGTAAATAAAAGTGCAACAGAAAAGCTTACTTCACTAATATGGAATTTAAAAATTGTCCCTGCCAGGCTTATAATCCCAGCACTTTGGGAAGCCAAGGCAGAAGGATTGCCTGAGCCCAGGAATTCAAGACCAGCCTAGACAACATAGCGAGACTCATCTCTACAAAATAAAAAATAAAAAAATTAGCCAGATGTAGTGGTGCATACCTGTAGTCCCAGCTACTCAGGAGACTGAGGTAGAAGGATTGCCTGAACCTGGGAGGTTGAGGCTACAGGGAGCCATATCATTCCACTGTACTCCTGCCTGGATGACAATAAGACTCCAACTAAAAAAAAAAATTGTTCCAAGAACATAGTAGCCTTCAGCACACACAAGTAGGATTTTTATCTTCTTAAAACAAAATATCTTTTGGGAATATCTTCCCACCTGTATTCTTTCTGCTTTTTGACCTAAAATAGAATACAGATTAGTAGGTTGGTATCCACGTTAATTTTGCTTTGTGAGACTTCCAGATAAAACAGCACATTTAAAGTTTCTTTTCAAAGAAAAATGAAAAGCCCAATGACTATAATTTGGTTTCCAAAAAATGTCAGAAAACTAATGTGTAACAGTGGAGTTTAATGCATATCAAAGCATGTCACTAGTCAGCCCCTTTTGTTGTATCCTTGAGGGTATGGAATTACTGGGGTTTGTGAAAGTCCTATGAGGCATTAGAGATAACTTATAGTTATGAGGAGTCAAAGGATTGATAGTCTATATAGTAAAAATGCCTAAATATTACCAAACTAAGTATTAGTATTCCTTATTTGGTATCATAGCTACCAGTTTATGAAGTCACATATTTTCCTCAGTTTTAACTTTCTCCTTTGGAAAAGGAATTGGAATAGAGGAATTATGTCTGTATCTCCTTTTAAATATCAGCACATTTGCCTTTATGAGGAAAGACTTACATGGTGGGAGGCAGCATTCATAATTCACTAGAAATCACACACTTTCTGCTTCTCACTCTGTTTGGAAAAAATATTCAAACTGTGTTTTTCCTCTGCTCTCACACCATAACAGTCAACACAGAAGACTTCTGTTACCAAATGTGTGGAGGTTTTGCCCCACCAACAAGCAGTGAACACTAGCTGAGTATTCTGCAGTTCAGTTCTGACATTATCTACCTGGATATAATGTCAGATACCCCAGGTTGAGGGCTGAATTTCCAAAACTGCCTTCCATGCTCTTTCAGACACCAGTTGCAAGCCCAGGCCTCCAGGATATTTCTACCAACGAGCTGCAAGTTGGGATTCCCAAGACCCTTCTTTGAGTTCAGTTAATTTGCTAGAGTAACTCACAGAACTCAGAGAAACACTTAGGTTTGCTGGTGTAGTATAAAGGATATTACAAGGGACACAGTGAAGAGATGCATAGGACAAGGTATGAGAGAAAGAGCAGAGTTTTCATGCTCTACCTGGGCATATCACCCTCCTTGAACCTCCCCAGGGTGTTCAGCTATTTGTAAGCCCTCCAAACAGTCCTCTTGGGTTCTTATGGAAGCTTCATGAAGTCTGCATTCCTTCCCCAAGGATATGGGGCAGGATCTTCTCTGCAGTGAGGGTTTTATAATCTACAACCAGAAAGTCAGGAGAAGATTAGAGTCCTGCCTTGGGATAGGTGAAAGGAGGGCAGGAGAAAGTCTGTTTCCTGAGGCCTACATTATAACAGGAGCTATGGAAGCTGTAAGCCAGGACCTATGGACAAAAACCAACATATGTAACACCACACACTTCTGCCATTAGCATCCTTTATGACTAAAATGCATAAATTGATTTGTCGGGAAATATAATTTTACATAAATTCCCTAGGAAAACCTCGTGGATCAAGGTTTTTTTCATTGATTTCATAATCATCCATGCTTTGACCTTTCTCCAATAGGATTCCAAGTAGAATTCTAGACTCTTGGAATATATTAGCTACAACCTCTACAAATAGCATGATTTCTAATTTTTTTCTTTAGAGTATTACATATAAGGCTGAATTGTTTTGTAGGTCAAAAAAATTATTACAAATTGGCAATTTTAGGTCAACCTAATAATATTCATTTATGTATCTTAAACCACAAGGAATATTGTGGTCATCATATGAAACCTTAAGCTCATCACAATTGCAGATATGACTCCATCCTTCTTATTGATCTTAAATCCAATATATTATGGTCCCCTGTAGTTAAAACACTATTAACCATAAACACATAGTGTGTACTTAATATGTTGCACACATTAGCGCAGTCTTCACAGTATTGGGGTATTGTTTTTATTTTATAGATGAGAAAATAGGTACAGAGAGATTAAGAAATTTGCACAGGTTATCTCGTAACTGAAAAATTATAGCTAAAATGTATAAAACTATTAACTGCTTTATTTCTTTTTTTTTTGAGTTGGAGTCTCACTCCATCACCCAGACTGGAGTGCAGTAGCACGCTCCCGGCCACCACATCCTAAACCTACTGGGCTCCAGCAATCCTTCCGCCTCAGCCTTCCAAGTAGCTGGAACTACAGCCGGCACTACCACACCCAGCTAATTTTTGATTTATTGTAGAGATGAGTTCTCGCCAAGTTGCCCGGGCTCAGGCAATCTACTCACCTTGGCCTCCCAAAGCACTGGGATTACAGGCTGAGCCACCGACCCCAGCCAACTGCTTTATTTCTAATACTTAAAAATTTGTTTTCTTATAGATGGTATTAACAAAAATCGACAAATCTTCTAAGGGACATCTTTTAAAACAAGTGCTTGAGATCCAGAAATTTGTTAATACGCATACACAAGGATGTTTTCCTCAGTTGTTTCCTGTAAGGTGAGAGTGAAATTATAAAAAAACTCTATAGACTAAAAACCTATAATATTAAATCAGTGTTTCTTAAATTGAGTTGTCACTTAAAATTTAGAGGATGCACTTATAGCCATGATTTGTTGGTACAATCCATTCGTATTTTTATTTTTTTTCTTCCCTTTATTCTTTCTTCCTTCTTTTCTTTCTGGATCTTCCTTGTAGGCACTTCATTCTCTTTCTGCCTCAGCCTAATTCAACCCTAAACCACAGCAGAAGTGAAAACGTTTTACTTTTTAAAATCAGCTAAGCAATAGCCACAATAAAGATGTTATTATCCCTTTCTTACTTTCAAAGAAATCAAGTTATCTTCATAGTAGAAAGCTCATGCAGTGAGGAATAAAAATTTTCGTTTGAAAAGACCATATAGAAATAAAAATGTTTCACATTAAGTTAGAATTAAACATTGTCAGCAGGCAGAATGGTTATTTCCTGAGGTGGCAGTTTCTCAGATATTATGATGTGGTCTAGTGACAAAGCATGGGTTTGTAGTTTGATACAGGAGGTGTAGTGCCATTCTCTGATTTTCTTACTCTGACCTCTTTGTGGGAGGCACTATGCTTGATGCTACTAGAAAATAATGAAGCAAAGTAACACTGTTGTATATGAAACTGTCCCCCAAGAAGTCATTTTAGACCCTACCAATCTAGGTCAGATTTAAATTCCAATTATGAACCTACTTGTTAAGATCCCTCTTCCTTCATTTCTTATAAAATGCTCTTCTCCCTTGACCAGGATTCGAGTGTTTATATTGTTCACCTGTCTGCGCCATATGTGCAATGGGAACTCACTGGTGTGGGAGTGAAGTCCTAATTCTTAGAGGCATGAGCACTGTCATATAAAAATCACTATTTTTTTTTAAACTGTTTAATAAGAAGGAAGTGGGACTTAAGGCAACACAGACAAGATGGGCAATTCATCATTAACAGCAGCATTCGTTAAAAAAAAAATTCTTTTGACTGTAAGCTGAGATTGAGTTAATAATGTACTGTGGCTGGGGGAAAACTGACAGTGTTTTCTTGGACTACATTAATGGAACTATGGAATTCAAACAAGAGAATGATGAAGACATAGTCCCACCCTGCTGTGAGCTATGTGCCACCACATCATTTCAGTCAGACTGTGGCTTGACTTGAAGAACAACTAGAGCAGTCTGCAAACACATCATTTGGAGGGAGATTCTGTCACTAGATCATTTAAAACACTTCATTGATCCTCACTGTAGACATCCGTATTTCACAGAAAAGGTTACAGGTTGGAGAAGTTAAGTGAGTTGCAAAGAGGTATTTGCTGAAATAGAAAAAGCATGGGCTTTAGAGTCAGCCACCATGGTTTTGCATGGCTCTTCTGTTTCCTGGCTACTGATTTTAAAGAAACTTATTTCATTTTCTCTGAGTCTGTTTTCTCACTAGTAAAACTGGGATAGTTATTAGCAGAACAGGGTTCTAGAGTTAATGCAGTGTATATTTCAAAATAGCTAAAAGAGAGGACTTGCAATGTTCCCAACACAAAGAAATGATAAATGCTCAAGGTGATAGATATCCTACATACCTTGACTTGATCCTTACACATTTTATGCATGTAACAAATTATCACATGTACTGCATAAATCTGTATGAATATTATGTATCAATAAAAAATGATAATAGAATAATAAATAATAAAAATGTTTTTTAAAGCAGTCATTAGGAAGATTAAATAAAATGTATTGTGACTGACATATACACGTTAGGCACATTATAATGTTAGTTTTTGTCCTTGCCAAAGGTCAGAGAGTCAGTAAATGACAAGGTCAAAACCTATAACCTAGATTATCATATTCTCAGTATTTTTTAGAGGCATTTTCTTCTTTAGATACACCAGCGTTCTCTGCTGCATGAGTCTGGAAGCATTGCTGCTACCATACTCACCATAGGTGACTGGAGAAAGCCGCACAGCACTCAGAATCAAAGATTTGAGACATGGGAGACTACTGGCCTTCAAGATCTTCACTGTTGACTATACCACAGTGAACATACTAGAAAGTTTGCAAGCTGCACTCTTAGTTCTCAAAACCCAATGCAGAAAATGGAGTTCTAAATACTTGCTTTTACTTGCATGACCAAGCTCCAGGCCATCCCTCCAGAAGGGAGTTTGGCCTGTTCACAAAAAGGTTATTATAAAATGAGTGCGGTTTTGTTTCCTTCTCTTTCTATGCTGTTGGTAGGAGAAAAATGCAGTGTGAGGTAGATGCATAGTCTGATGAGTTTTGGCCTTTAAGTATTAGTCTTCAAGTCTGAACTCTGTCCCAGCAGGGTAGAGAAGTTATAAATGGTACTGGGATCAGCCTGTTTTTATAAGTAGAAATATATAAGTAGGCACAGTATACAAGCAGAGATCCCCCCCAAAATGGAATTTATTTATAAAAAATTGTGTATTCTTACATGTTTAGACTTCAGTTACCTTTAAAGTACTCTTTGTCTAAAGTGCAGTATATCTACTGAGATGCTTTTTCCACTGCTCAAAACAGTTTTTGAACTTGTCAATTTTGATGCCATTTAGTGCTTGTATCATTTTTTATTTTACCTCTTTCGCAATGGCAAAACATTCCCTTCAGCAAAGTAGCTCAGGACAAGATCAGGTGAGTAGAGATGGTGGGGCATGGGGATCATGCTATTTTTGATCAAAAATTGCTGAACACTCAGCGCAGTATCGGCAGGTTGTTTGTATAAATCACCCATCATGAAATAGCAATTGTGCTGAAAGAATCAACAAAAATATTTGACTGAAGCTGAAACACAGCCTCTCACAACAATGCTAACTGGTACACTGATGCTGATGGGTTCCTAGAACACTTATCTTGTGGGGGAAACCTGTACCACAGGAGATCTGCCCTCCAAAAATCAATTCTGTTTTTTAGGGGGGATCCCCCCTCATTGTGGCTTTCTATGTAGTGTTTCTGTGGTTTCTTTCTTTTTTTTTGAGTTAGAGTCTTACTCTGTCTCCTAGGCTGGAGTGCAGTGGCACGCTCACGGCCACCGCATCCTCAACCTGCTGGGTTCAGGCGATCCTTCTGCCTCAACCTTCCAAGTAGCTGGAACTACAGGCATGCACTACCACGCCTGGATAATTTTCTGATTTATTGTAGAGGTGAGGTCTCACCAAGTTACCCGGGCTGGTCTTGAACCCATGAGCTCAGGCAATCCTCTCACCTCAGTCTCCCAAAGTGCTGGGATTATAGGCATGAGCTACCGCACCTGGCCATTTCTGTGGTTTTCTGTGTAGCGAAATTTGAGCAAATGAGATATGATTCTAAGCAGAGACAAAAATTGTATGAATTGGCAGAAGTGTTGCAAATGAGTTATTTAGTGTGTGAACTATATAACTTAAATCTCTCCTCTCCTTTAAATAGTATAACTTCACATATAACCTAGGAATCATTATGGGCTATTCTCAAGTTGGCAGCTTTGGTCAAGTCTAAAATGCTACACTTTATCAAGAAAAGAATTAGCAATATGGCAGGAAATATTTTACTTGTATATAGAACCTTAGTATATCCATGCCCAAGAAACCATGTGGCTGATCTGCATATTGACGAATGGATATTGGAGTGGGCTTGAGAGGCAGGAGATGGAGAATTGGGTGTGAGTAGAGACAACTCATCACAGAGAAGTTTCACCACGAAGGGAAAGAAATGGAGGAGGAGCTGTAGGAGGCTGGATAGATGGATGGATATAGGAAGACAGATAGATAAATAATATATAAATAATAGTGATGGTAATTTTTTTTAAACCTGGAAAAGATCTAAATTAATAAGGTAACTGAATTTTTGTCACCAAAAAAACAAACTAAAGAGATCAAGAGACTTAATTTGGAAAATAAAGCAAAATAGAAGATACAGATAAATCTTTAGAATCATGAAGGAAATGAATCAGATAATATCAATCATCAGATTTTAGAATACTATAAGATGCTGAATGAAGAGAGGAAAGGTAAAACACATACAAAGACATTCTGCTTTATACATGAAATCACAAGAATGTTTAAAGGCTGGATTCACTCAGATCTGTTTCTACCTCTGAGGTTAGGAAGAAAATTATTTTCTTTTCTTTTTCACAGTACTGTGACCTTTTCTGGAATCCATCTAATGAGATGCTTTATAGCAAATATAACAGGAAATCTTGACTAATGGCTCCCAGTTTAACTGAAGATTCAAAAAACCGCATCATGCCAACTGGAGATAAATAGAAGAATTTCAACATTGTTTAAAACGTTGTGCATCTGTAACTTCAGGAGGATCATTTCGTTTTTAAACCCTGCACCTTCCCAAAGTAAAGATGAATTTGTGCCTGGGATAAAAAACAGTTTCTAAATAATTGAATTATGCTGTTCATTGAAACAGATACTGTTTTTCCCATTTTGACAAACTGACAAGAGCATATAGAAACCCATAAAATGAAAACCTATTACTACTATATAGAGAATGGTTGACCACGTTATTTATTGGGCTTTGTCTTTTAAAGAAAATGTGTATTATTTTTTTTTGTTGTTTTAAAGTAGACTAGGTAAAGGGGACTGCTTTTTTTTCTAAGCATTGATAGGTAAGTAGAAGGATAAATGTTCCCATAATCTTTTTTTCAAGTCATTATTTGAAAATTGAAAAAATATAAAGTTTGTCAGCCCATGTTGGAAACACCCAGAAGACCATAATTCAAGTTCAAATTCTGGTATTTATCACATGTTGGACTTTGGGCAACATACATGATTTCTCTGAACTTCATTTGTAACTGTAACCTTGAAAGCTATTAAGATTAATATGGTTTTACATAGTAGGCAATATATGTGAGAAAGACAGCTACATATTTGTAAAGCCAACTAACCAAAGAAATATAGCAAAATGCAGGGGTAGATTTACCACAGGAAGGATCCTGTCACAGGGAAGTAACATTTTCTCTAGTGAAAAACAAACAAAACCCAGAAACTAGCTTTAAGTAAGAAATCTAATTTGCAAAGGGCAAGAGAAAAAAGTTGGTGAGATGGTTTAGACTTGGTACATTAAGATTCACAATGGAAAGATAAAGCCTTTGAACTGAAGTTAATGGAAAAGATTTTTTGAAGGTGCCACTCACTGTTTATGTAAGTGGCTTTGCTTTTCAAAGTGAGGCTGAATATTAAGAGGTTATAGCTATATTACTAGATAAAAAATAAATGCTGTGAACCAGTTTTATGGCTTTTTTTAGAAACTTATTTCTGAATATTTTCATTTGTTTTATAGTTGATAGAATTGGTCTATTTTATTCTAACCAGCAGTGTTTTAAGCCCAAAAAAAGGATGTTTTAACATTGGCATGCACAAAGTAAAATATATAGTGGCAAAAGAATTATCTTAGAAGTCATCTTTCTGTCAGTGTTACTTTACTACTTGTTTTAGCCTTGGTTCTTCTAAAAGCAGAGACTGCAACAAAAGCTTGCATGGGTAATTTATTTGGAAAGTGGTCCTAGGGAACAGGAAACAGCAGTGAAGTGAAACAGAAGAAAGGAAAGCCTATGAATCATGTATTCTTTGAGTTAGCCAAAACATAGGTACTAGTGCTTGATCTTGTGGGAACTTCAGAGAAGCTTTGTGAAATGTGTGATCTTTGGTGAACAGGTTTGTGCAAACCTAAAGGTTGAGGAAGCTGAGAGGTAAAAGAGGCTGACGGATTCAGTTTCTCAGAAAGAAATTTAGGCACAGAAGCTGTATCTTGAGCTGCCATGAGACAGAGGATCACTCCACCATTACACCCAAGACCTGAGACTGAGATACCATAGGGAAAAGATATCCATGCCTCAGAAGGAATGTATAAGAAAATTGAAGTCAAACCTTCAGGAAAAGGCAATGCTGTGTGCCTCATAGCCTATAATTTGTTCAAGGGCAGGATTTATGAAAGTATGTATGTGCTCGCAACAGTAGATAAAAGTAGAAATCCTAAGAGGCATTTCCGGAACTCAGATTGGTCAGAAGTCAGCATCTGAAACTTACTTTAGCTTCCAGTCTCTGAATTTCTTTAAGGAAGGGAATGGACAGCCTCCCTGCCTTTCCCAGGTTGTACATGCCCAAGTGCCAAGCAATTCCTGCACGTAGTCAGAGGCCCCAGGGCTGAAAGTGAGAGGAGGCAAGTCTAGCCCTACTTGAAACTGGCTGCCACAAGTGACTGAAGTAAGAAAGTCAAAAGAATCCAAAGTGACACAAAGGTCTCATACACCACTCATAAATGAAACTCAACATTAGTGATAAAACTGGTATGCACTATGATAACCCTGACAATTGTTTTAGTCTCATTTATTAGGTGAGTTATGGTTTAGTATATTTTAGATGTCATTTTTTTTTCTTGGAGTTTTACTCTGTTGCTCAGGTTGGAGTGCAGTGGCACGCTCACAGCCACTGCAGCCTCGACCTGCTGGGCTTAGGCCATCCTTCCACCTCAGCCTTCCAAGTAGCTGTAAATACAGGCGTGCGCTACCACACCCAGTTTATTTTTTGATATATTGTACAGACAAGGTCTCACCAAGTTGCCCAGGCTAGTCTCGAACCCCCAGGCTCAGGCAATCCTCTTGCCTCGGCCTCCCAAAGTGCTGAGCCACCGTACCTGGCCAAATATCTTTTTTTAAATGTAAAACATTAAGGCTGGTGCAGTGACTCATGCCTGTAATCCTAGAATGTTGGGAAGCCGAGGCAGAATTGCTCAGGAGTTCGAGACCAGCCTGGGTAACATAACAAGACCTCATCTCTACAAAAATTACAAAAAGAAAAATAGGTATGGTGGTTTATGGCTGTAGTCCCAGCTACACAGAAGGCTGAGGTGAGAGGATTACCTAAGCTCAGGAAGTCAAAGATATGGTGAGCCATATTGGTAACCCAGCACTCCACTTACTCTGGGTGACAGAGTAAGACCCCCCAAATTAAAAAAAAAAAGTAAAAATGTAAAACAATTTTAGGGTTATTTGGGAAAATTAACTGATATAGAATTCAGTAAACCCCCTACGTGCAAACAAGTTCTATTCCAAGAGCATGTTTGTAAGTCCAATTTGTTTATAAATCCAACAGTTACCGTAGGTACCCAACTAACACAATCAGCTATGTAGTACTGTACTATTATAGGCTTATAATACTTTTCACACAAATAATAAGCAAAAAATCTTTAATCTTACATTACAGTATTTTGAGAAGTACAGTGATGCAGTACAATAGCTGAAATTGAGTGAACAGGCAAGAAGAGTTACTGGAAGAGGAAGAGGGGGTGGGAGATGATTGAGCTAAAGGATCATCAGCAAGAGTTGGAGGGCAAGCTGCAATTTCACTCATACTTGATGTTGACAGCACAGGTTCTGGTTCCTTGCTGGATTCAATTATCTGTACCCTCTTGAAAAAATGATCAGTAATGTCTGGGTAGTAGTTGTTTATTCTCATCATAGATGACATAGCAGCACTGGATTGCATTCTGAACAGCTGCTGTAAACTGTACCCTTCTATGTTCAGGTCCTGTGCCTCAAAAACTAACAGCGCCTCCTCAAATAACTAACTTACATGACTGAACATGCAAATGCACTTTCACATCTTTGAAAGCTTGCAACTTGAAGGTTTGTATGTAGGGGACTTGCTATACTACATTCCTTATAAACATATAAATTATTATTTTGCGGACACAGGTGTGAAGCTTTTTACTATTTCGCTGAGTTGTGAGGGACAGGAGATGGGAAAGGAGATGAAAATACTTACTCCAAAGGAACATTAATGAGGTAGGAAAAAATACTAGGTTGATAGTCCAATCTAGGCTTTATAGTTCTACCTTAACTTACTAAACCACTTTGATTTTTTAATGAGATAATCAAGTTTCTTTCAGCTATAAAAGTTTATCATTTGGAACAAAAATGCAATTTCAGGTGCAGAAACCTAAGCCCAAAGGAAACTGACTAGCTCAGTGGAGTCATATACAAATAGCTATAGAAGCAAGACTGGATCTTAAATCTTCTGACTCCTAAAGACCTTTTTTAAAAAAAACTTTTTCAGAAAAAGAAAGCAAAATCAGAAATTGGGACATAAAGTCTTATAGGATAGAAGCTAGATGGACAATAAGGAAGTAAATCAAGCCCTATGGTCAAAGAAGCAATGCCACACTTAGGGACCTTAATAATGTATCTTCATTTCCCAATATGTAAAGGAACACATTGAACACAAGGCCACTTAGGCGCTGAACGTTTCTAGACTTGTCAGGAATAAAATCTCCTTGGTATTGTCTATGTTTTAAAGCACTAAGTGGCTACTACCACTTGGTAGGAAGCTAGAAGGAATGTGAAAAATGATTAGAGATTAAGAACTTTGAATTAAACCAGAATGTTCAACAAAGGGCTTCAGGAGAGAAGCTAAATCATTGTTGCTATAACTGAATTTTGGGCCACTTCAAACTTATCTAGGTACCTTGTTAAAAATGCAGACTTCTCTCCCATGTTTTTCATCCTCTGGGAAGGGACTGGTAATCTGCATTTTTAAACAATCCACCAGGTGATTCTTAAAAAAGCTAAAGCTTAAAAACCACTGGTATAGAAAACCAGGAAAATGCAGACAGGGAAAGGACAAAGCCAGATAAAGAGTGAAAAGGAAGTGCAGAAAAGGAAATGAATGATAAGAAGGCTGAGGAAAAGGATGCAGTATACTAAGGTACTGTTTTATTTTCCTGTAAAGCTGTATGCAACAACATAAAACATAAGGCTACTGTAGAAGCTTAATGACCTAATTCTGGTGAGTTCGAACATTTGAAAGCTGGTGCCTAAAACTTCACATCATTATTTCAAAATACATAAGATTTACCCCCTCAGAGCAATTGTATCACCAGTGTCCAAATATCAGATAACACCATCAGCACCAAATTATAAATTTGCATATTAGCTGCATTCTTGAGTCTATTTTGTGTCACCTCACCTTATTTTTTCATTTTACTTTCTCACCTACCTCTTTATTATCCTGTTATATTTCATGTGTAACCATAAACCACCTTATAGCCTTTTTGGAAAAAGGTTTATTTGGAATCAGTTTTTGGTACCCAAATAGATGAACACAAGAAAAAAAAAACTTTTTAGCAAACTCCAAAAGCATTTAATATGACCTCCTAAGAGGTAAGGTGAACAAATGAAGAGAAGCAATGGTTGTGACCGGTCCCTGGTAATATCATCAATGGCAAAACTTGATGATCAATCCTAGTATGTAAACAATACAACTGTCAGAAGCTACAAACTTTAGTATTCAGAGGTGGATTTATCTATGATGGAGCCAATAACGCCAAAGTGAGCTTTCAGGTGCTTCCTTGCTATTCCCCACCCTCACTCCCTATTTACCTTAAGGGACTTAATTCAGGTATCAAATCCCTGGTACATCATAAAATTATTCCATTTTTCAGGGTCCTATGAGCATCAGTCAAGGAATTATAACTGCTTCTCAGGGGTAGGCTGTAGCAGATTTTCATCTCACTGTCTCACATGTAGTTGAAGCCAAAAAAATACTTGTTGATTAAATGGCACAAACCTCCTATAAATGTTTACTGAACTGAACTGAACTCCTGTGCGATGCTGCACTAAAATAGCTCCTCTGAGTCCAGGTAGTACTTCCAGATCTCAGGACTTCCACTTAAAAAAGTAAATCCCCTAGAAGTCTCACATATTAACATCTAAACTCTCATTAACACAAAGATATCATCAATGTCATCTGTCTCCTTAATGGTTCCTGATGTTCTGTGTGTGTTTGTTTGCATCACTGTCCTTGAATCAGTTTCATTTTCACTGCTTTCTGTAAGATTTTCATGCATCTGTTTCTCCGTAGTTTGTGTGAAAGGACTGGAAACTCTGGGTTGCTCACTGTTAAGGTAGAGGTCAGTTCTATGACCTGTACAGTGTGAAAGTCTCCACTTAGCACTGGCATCTGCAGCATTCTTCTGAGTCCCTAGAGGAAACTGCTGAATTTCCTTTAAGAGAGTTGACTGCAACTTTCTCTGTGGTTTCCTTTGTCTCAGTAAAAATGTATTCGGTGATCTTCTTTGTCTCAGATGATGCTTTGAAGTTTTGATACCTGAGCCACGAAGAAGGCAGTTGCACACAGATGTTTTTATGCACTCTAGCTTCTTTGGTAAACTTTAAAGGCAGAGAGAAAGGAAAAAATCTGAGCTTGTTAAGATGCAGGTAAACATTCTAAAGTGCTTTTAATTTACCAACTTCCAACAGAAAACTATTCAGTTCATCTGCAAGTTCTATGCCTGTGTATAATCCCAGAATTATCGAAAAATAAAGAAATAGGCGTTTCAACCCAATCTGTTTTTTCATAGCACAGTTTCCCTCTGGTTGAAGTTATAGGCATGTGTCCCCATTTTGCTCTCAAAGTAAAGTAACCATTATAAAGCCCTAAACAGATCTGTAACTATAGATAAGAAATTATGGTGCAGAGACAGGCTCAGTGGCTCACACCAATAATCCTAAAACTTTAGGAGGCTGAGGTGAGAGGATTGTTTGAGCCCAGGAGTTCGAGGCCAGCCTGGGAGCAGCGAGACAGACCTTGTCTCTAATAATTACAAAAAGAAAAAAATTATGGTACAGGCATAGGATAGTTCTCCTTGTTGTTTTTTTAAGACTCTTCTCCTCCTACCCAAACTGAAACACAATAGCCTACTTCCATGTCACTTTTTTTTTTTGAAAGAGCTTATTTCGTAAAGAATACATAATAAACAGGTTAGGGTAATGGCCTCTGTGAAGGCAGAATAAGGATCTTTATACTCATTTGTGTCTGAAATTGTTACCATCAGCATGTTATTTTTTTAAATAAAAATATAAAGCCCTGAAGTGTCTAATGTCTAACTTTATGATGTAATGCTTCATGCACTACTGGCCCACAAGCAAAAATAACCATCCTTAAATAGTTCTATGTAAAAATCACAGGAAAAAGAGGTCAGTACATGGAAAGTCCAGCTCATATGAATGAAGGGTAAGCCTGACCCTGGCCCTGGCATCTGGTATGGACCTTGTAAGGAGCAGGCGCCTACCTTCTGCTTCTGCCTCACACCCTCATCCCACTGCACTGAGGCTGACTGCAGAAGGGCCGCCTCTCCAACTAGAGCATAAGCTCCGTGAGAACCAAGCCTGTTGATGCAGTTGTATCCCAGGGCTTAGCACACATGGACACTCTTAATGCTTTCTGAATGAAGGAATGGAAATGATGAAGAGTATAAATGACTAAGTTCAATTATCCTAAGTTTATTTTCTCCCTCTAACGACATAGCTTTGCTCTTAGAACAAAAGTAACAAATGAAATTGCAATTTGAATAGATCTCTTTTAGGCCCCCTTGGACAGCTAGATATCTCATTTTAAAGAAAGGTGACCTGAATATACTTTTATCCTAAATAACAGAAAAAGGAATACAGTTTTCGTAATATACTTACCTATGACCTTGAGCTTCCACGTGCTTAAGCCGGTTACTTTTAAGAAGTTTGTTACCCAGAAAGGTGGACTGAGCCTTAAATTTGTTTCTCCTGCACCATACAATTGCCATTTGGATTTCTTCAGAAAGCTGTATGAAGGACTCAGCCTCTCGGAATCTCTGCACCAAACTTTTGGCACGAGAAGTTCCTATGACTTTCTGAGAAGAATTTCTGGTTATCTTTAGTCTGGATTGAGAACATTTAAAATCACAGCTGGTCTTCTGAAATGTGAAAAGGTGAGAAAAATATACTGAATGTGTTGCTGACATGTAATTATATGGCAACTGGGAATGCTGGCTCATGGTCAAAATTTTAAAACTATCAGTCTTTAAAAGAAAGATGACTTTTTTACTCTGAACTTTTCTTTAGTCTTAAAAAAAGTTAATGTTTTTCTCCAGTGCTCCAAAAACAAGATTCCCTCTGCAGCTGAATTAGATTGACACAGGTAGCTTAAATATTCTAACACACATATATAATATATGCAAAAGAATAAAACACCACATGATTAAATATTGGTCAAAGCCTAATGGAGGGAATCACTGAAGGGCCCTTTTCTACATCACTAAACTGTCACAACTTATTTTTCACTTATTTCCAAACCCTGAACAAACTTCCTTGATGATGGGACATAAGTGTTCCTGAAAATAGAGATCATATGGAGACTTGCAGAGCACATTTCTAATTCCACCAGTCATCTTCTGACAAGACACTTTTATTTCTTCAGCCCTTTCTTTATCAAGTCAAAAGTTTGGATTTTAGTTACTATTTCTTTATGAAAATATACTACCTCCTTGGTACGCTTCTTCTCTTCCTCTTCATTCATAGTTTACTTTCTTCCAAATTTCTCACACTCAAAAGGGATTTTAAAAAGAAGTAGAGCCGGGCTTGGTGGCTCAGCCTGTAATCCCAGCATTTTGGGAGGCCGAGGTGAGTGGATTGCC